ATGGTCTGCTGATCAAACCAGGTCAGTATGCTGCAAACATCATCAAGACCTATGAGGACCATTTTGGACCGGCACGGAAGCAAAAGTTGCCAGCAACTTCAGACATCCAAGATGCAGATGGTTCCAACTTGGCTTCTCCAGAAGATGCAGCCATATTCAGGTCCATAGTTGGCATGGGAATCTACCTTGCTCAGGAGCGAATGGATGTGGCCTTTGTTGTCAAGGAGCTGGCTAGTCGAATGTCAAGCCCTACAGAGATTTCACTCCTAAAGGTGCAGAAGTTCGTGGGCTACCTCAAGGAGACCGAGAGTCAGCATATCCTGCTTCCTCTTCCTCAACGAGGACAGGGAATGCACATGAGGTCTCATGAGCTTTGGATCTTAGAGTCCTACACTGACGCTGACTGGAGTGGCAATCGAGCAACGAGGAAATCAACATCTTCGTCAGTTCATGCACTCAATGGCATGATCATCTACAGCACCTCCAGAGGCCAGAAGGTGGTTAGTCTTTCCTCTGCAGAGAGCGAACTACACGCTTTGGTAGCTGGCGCTTGTGATGGAATATGCTTCAAACACGTCATCGAGTTCCTCACCGGAGAGCAGGTTCAGCATGTGTGCTGGGTGGACAACTCAGCAACCCGACAGATTGCTTGCAAGAGGGGAGCTGGACGACTGAGGCACATCAGTGGCAAACTCTTATGGTGCCAGGATCGAGTCGCCAATGGATCCCTAGAAGTCAAGCAAATAGGGACAGCCTACAACCTGGCCGACATAGGCACAAAGCCTCTTTCCAAAGTTCGTCTACGTTTGCTTCTTTTCTGGTGCCATGCACGAGATGGAGATGGAGAGCGTGTTGGGGAAAAGGAACACCAACAGTTCCAGGAACAGCATGTGGAAAAGGGAAAGATCATGAAAGTTGCCAAGTACCTGAACAGGTTGATGATGGTGAGCGGCCTTGAGCTGGCTGCGGGAGAGACGACGGACATGGTGATGATCCAGCCCAATTACAAGATTCCTTTCTACATGTTGATCTTCATCATCGTGATTGGTGCACTGGTTTTTGGGGCGATGCTTCTTTGGAACAAGTTTCAGAAGCTTGAGAGAAGGGTGGACATGCTACAGGCATATGTCACTCAACTTGAAGCTGAAAAGGAAAAGAAGAGCAGAGAGGAGTCGATGGCTCAAGATTTCATGGAGCGCATCTACAGAGGTTTAGTCTTTGCAGGTGGGCATGTGGAAGCAAGCTCAGTGGCCAGCGCAGAGTGGGACTACCTGCAGTACCTGGAGGCAGTGAACAGGAGACATGAGGGGTTGAGACTTCGACAACGTTGGAAAGACCAAGAACGAATACGTGGTGAGCGGGGAGGAAACCTAGAAAGAAGTAGACTTCCTCACCTCACAGCTGACCAGAGGGCGATGGTTGAAGGCCGTGGACCTACAACCACTGGAGCTGCACCACGTGAAGGAGAAGAAGATTTAAGCGGTGAAAACCTCAGTGGGGACACTGTTTCAATTCGGCTGGACAACGGCGAAGTGGTCACTATCCCAGTGGAGTATGTTGAGACGACCACTGCTGGTCCTGATGTGGGGTCATCACGAGATGCTCCAATGAATCCAGAACCCGAGCCAGTTCCAGCTGCTGAAGGAGAAGAGAGTGATGAGAGTATGGCTGAAAGTAGTGACCAAGGTGGGCCACCAATGATCCACACAGGAGATTGGGAGCCAGATCGTGTTGAAATCCCAGCAGCACAGTTCCAAGTCTACAACAAGGCTGTGACGAGAGCAGACCCAGTGACACGAGAGGAACTTTTGAAGATCGAAGCACTTTGGTACCATGCAGTTCGGGTCAAAGATCCAGAACTTGAGAACCACATGTATAGGGCGATGGAAGATGCTTTTCCATATATGGATCCAGCAAATCCACTGAACTAGAGGTTTGAAGTGGATCTCATGCGTGGACTCACACTTCAAAAGGAGGAGTGCGAGTGATAGTTACATGTACTCACAGGTCATTTAAGATGACACTGCACAAATGAGAAGTGTACCAATCAAGGCCGTTGCATCTCAAGAAAAAGGTCCGCATGTTTCCATAATGCTAGTAATGCTATACTACTGCACACTGATTCCTATGGAAAATGTTTTGCAAAGCTACCCTCATATAGCAGAAAGAACATACTAGGGGGGTCGTCAGCTACCCAAGCGATAAGAGGCAAGCAGCAGCACACCACCAGTAGACCAACAGCACACCTGTGGCAGACCAGCAGCACACCGGCAGCAGACCTGCAGCAGCCCATCGGCCTCCTTTTTTTGCACCCTTTCACTTTTCCATTTTGGTTCGGAGTCAGGGCCGTTGCCGAGCTCAGCATGCTTGTTGCTAGCATTTCATAGCTTGTGTGTTTCATTCGAGCTGTGAAATGTCATGAGTGATGATCGAATGCAGTGCAGTTTAGGCCATTGCATTGGTGCCATCAATCGGCCAACCGGTTTGTGCACGCAGGGCACACATATCGCCAGAACAGTGTCAGTCTTCCACTTTCACCCATATTATCTTTCCACTACACCTGCCACGAAAAGTATGCGAAAGGACAATTCCTCGTACCAAGCAATGAACCTCCTTGTGTATTTCAATTGACAGTTGGATTGAATATTTGTGTTGACTCACCCATGCAATTGCCAACTTCCAATGCACCGAAGTCACATTTGCATGGGGCGATTCATCAAATATGATGCGGACTTGAAAAACATGAATCACAGCAGGTTCTGGTTTCACATATGTCCAAGATGAAGCACGGTCGGCCTTGTTGAAAAAGTTTTCATTCACAATTTGTTGCTTTGACTTTGATTCGAAGGCCCAACTGAAATATAAGCTTTGTCCCATGTCGATCACAAAAAGAACTTGTCAGTTCAACATTGATGTATTTGTTTGCAGGCGCAGCCCAAATTGAGACTTCAAAAGACTCAACCAATGTTTTTTGCTTCTACTGCAAAACATGCTTGACTAGGGCAGATTGCATGATTTCGGTTGAGCCTGGTCACGGTCAAGCTTCAAACTTTCTGCCACATTCCAGCACCTCAAGAACAATTTTGAAAAAGAACTCGAGCGTCTTCAAAACCATCACACACAAAATGCTTGCGCATCAAGACATGTTTTTCCAAGCAAACATTATTTAAGACAGAAAGGAACGATATAAGAAGATCGCTTTTGATGATGCAATTGATGCATGTTGTTTGCCTTGGCATTTTCAGCATCATTGTTTGCGCTGAGGTCAAGGGTTTAAAATACTATTGTTTCAAGGAGTCTTGTAAGTACTTGTTTTTCAATATTTCTGCAGCATACCCTTTGCATTTGCAATGTGATTGTGGTTTTGATTTTGCCGGATTTCAACAACCTATGTCACGGTGGAGGTCCGTGCTGGCTTGCGATCATCGTTAATTTGAAGAAGTTGTGTTCTTTATTCTTGGGCAGAGATCTAATGCAGCCATGCTGACCACGCCACGCTTCACAACATTACGAATCACCACCGGCACATCTCAAGAATTCAGAATGCCACTGACAAATAGTAGCCACGGGCGATGCATCACGAATTCCTATGCAAGATATCGCCACATTTCAGGTCATCACAACGCTTTAGGTTCTTCATTTTTTATCTTACGCCCGCTGGTTTGGGTGGGTTTAGAATGTAATTCACAAATGGTTGGGGTGTTTGCAGTGGCCCAGTCTTGAAATTGCGAGTCCAAACGCCCTGAAGGATTATATTGTGATTTGCTAGATCCCATACCTCATAGATAACAAGGATTCTGCATGGACACAACATACACAAAAATCAAATTTATCCAAAGTATAGTCTCTCTTTTTTTGTGTTTCTTGTTAAGATTGTCAAACCTCCAACAACGATTGTATTCAATTCGTGCAGAATTTACCCGCATTGCACTTGGTGATTTGAGTTTGATGTATATTGTTTGCAGTTTAGCTTGTTTGTGGAAGTTTTAGCACATACCGTTTTTGTCACGTGGTTTCAGACGTGGATTTGAAGCTTCCCTTGGCCCATCGGGATTGTGAAGCAATCAGGTCTGGTCCATCACAAAATATCGGCCACATCAACCAATCTTATCATTGGCAGTGCTAACCGCTAACCAAATGGCAACATTTGTGTGGTGTATCAGTGAATGAGAGAAACATAGATGGAGGCAAATGTAAGATTTAGAGCTCGTTGGTTCAACTTTTGTGTACAGCGTACTAGAGGAATAATTCAAAGTCAGGAGTGGTTTGAGAGAATTCTGCTTCAACAGCGCACTGAAGTGAGAGATTGTATAATATGTGTGTGAAGGAACTTGCACTGAAGCAGACCATGAAGCAAGTGCGGTTTCACTTTGATTGTCCAGCGTCACTTAACAACGAACACAACAAAAAGGTGTCGGATTTGAAGGCTCTTTCTTCAATTTGTTCCCCCATGCCGAGCACGCCGCACAACACACTGAAGAATCAGTTGAACCTTGGCAGTAGCAAAATAACAGCAGGGAATCTAAAATTGAAGAACAAAGCAAAGAACATGCTGCAAGCACCGCCTGTGTTTACATTTTCTTGTAATGTGATTTGTTGGCACTCCTGAAGCAAATCAATTGAACCTTTCTGGTCTTTGTGAAGCTATGGAAACTGTTTTAGTCTTTGCGGAGTTGTTTATATGATATTTTAGAATAATGCTGATGATGCTTGTTACTAAGCAAAGCACTTCCAGCATTTTTTGTAGATAAATATCATTATATTCTTTCAATCATGTATATTTATTTTTGTTTTCGATTGCAATGGATTTATGGGTTCAGTTAAATGTGTTGGGCATCCTTTTCATCACTTTTGAAGGGTTGCGGAGGGTCAACTTGCACTGTGAGTGGCTCACAAGCGCAAGGTTGAATTCGACAGCTTTCAAGATGTGAGAAGTCACATGATCACCGCATGTGAACAAGAGACGCAGTGTTTAGATTGTCAAAACATAACAGTTGTGATTCTTGTCTTCTTTTGCTTAATTCGGCTCGTTGCCATATTGACAGCCATTGCTCCACTTGCAATGGGGGACCGATGCTGCCACAAAGCTTGTAGGGAGACTTAGTAAGATGTGCGCTTTGTGTCACAGTTCGGCAGGACAATATGTCCTGCTCTACACATTGTGCGCCGAACTGCATATCTCGCCAGGCTGAGATTGAATCCACCTTACAGCTTTTTGACATTGCAAGATAGCAAAATTGCAGTGCAGTTGTTTTGTTCTTCAAACAAAGGATGTTTGTTGTTTGCATTCTGGTTCATTGATGCCAATGTTTGATCAACTCGGCCAAATGCGCGCAGCCTCCTGGAAACGATGTTGTGGAGGACCCTCCAAGGCCAGTGTGTTTGTGTATGTTATTTGTTCTTTTGTGTGTGTGTGTGTGCGTGCTTTACTTTTTGTACTGTAGTGTTTGGAAAACAGTTGGTGCTGGATCCAGTCAAAAACCCAGCCTCATCTAATGTATTTAGGCGTGAATATCTGAAACATTCTGCACGTTCAGGAAGAATGCAGGTCGGACATATCCTGTGGCGGATCCTGTCGACCTTCAACTCAATTGGCAAACAGCGCACGCCTCTGCCGACCCACAGATGTCCTTCTTTCTTAAATGTCACAGGAAACAGGTTTGCTGTGCAGGAGTTCCTCTCTTGACTGCATTCACTTAGATTGCCGTGCGGCATGCCTGGCGGAAAGCTGCTGAGATGGGTGATGCAGGAATAGGCGGGGGGATTTCTGTCTAAGTCTTCGACCAAGTTCGATGTCAAATCTTGGAGGACCTCCACTTCCTGTGAAGGGTTTGCACGAAGAGGCCGGCGATTTAGTCGAGTCTCAGAGAGAAAATAAGCGGAGCGAGACAGCCAAGGCAAGACCGGTTGAGCCCGCAGAGCAGCCTCAGAGCAAAGCACGAGCCCTAGCATGGGATAGTTCGTGCTTTTCTCAGCGCATTTATCTCAGTGTTTTGAGGAGGATGAAGCACAATGCTTGTCTCAGCCTCCAGGAGAGGGAACCTCGTCATGTGAGCACATGCCTACGCGTTCATTCTTGTGACAAGGCGATGTCTTCAAAATCTGAGACCTGATTCTAGTCCGTCTCACCAAACGTTTAGCTGCTAGAAACAGAATATGCATGCCCTGTGCGCTAGAAGCATCAATCTTGAACTGGGTATCATAACACATCAAGGTTCATAACACTTTTGAGCTTGCTTCGTCTTGCCATGCTGCTTGCTCACTACTTCATAGTGACTCAACCAGACAAATTTATGAGTTAAACATATATAACCGGCAGGAAAAAAACCGAGAAAAGTGGCCAAGAACAAGCAACTTATAGGCTTGTTGGACAAGTACGCTAGATAAAAGGGAGTGAATGGACTCATTAGCGTGTTTGCCCGCATTGTGAGCAGATGGAAAAGAGCTTTCCAGAGCGAGCAAGTCTGATTCACAAGCAGCGAAGCAGCTGCGGCATGAAGTGTCAGCCTACCCAAGCAAACGTGTAGTGGACTTGCGAGTAAAGTTGCAAGCGCCAAGACTTGGTGAACATCCGAAATGGCTCAAAAGGATCTCACATAGAGTAGCTGAGCAGAGATCATGTGACTCTGGATGGATGTCATATTGACTTGATGGCACCAGCCAGTTAGATGACCTAGTTTCTCAGAAACTGTCTAAAGCTTGCTGAGGGAGTTTCACAAATAAGCAACCGTCATGTCATACTGATTCAGAAGCCAGTCTTCAAGTACAACAGCATATTTTGTCTGTCGGAGTTCCGTACTCGATGGCGAGTACTGAGGCGCCTTGGCGGCCCGAAATCGGGTCTTTCATGAGTCCAATGAGTTAAGCCTGAGTCAATTTGACGCCGCCTGACGCCAGGATTCTCGTCTTCGAGGTTTCCAAGATCTGAGGGATCTGCCCGGATCTTAACCAGGCCAACTTTTTGGTCTCGCGCGATGAATGTGACAATTTGCTCCTAGGCTGGGACACAGACTAGAGGCGCAAGAGTTTTGCAGTTTTATCCCATGAGATCAGGAGTTTGTGATGGTGTTGGGGGTGTTGGCTTTTAGAGTCCAGCCAGAATCTACACTCTTTTTTTGGTACTTATGTGCGAGGCTGGACAAGTGTCATGTCCGTTCCACTTTGGCAGCTTGAGATTAGAGGACCTATGTCAGCAGTACACCTCTGAAGACTCACCAGACCCAAGATCGAACCAGCTTGTGCAGGAGTGGATTCTGCTCCTGCAAGCGAGTTGACTCCTTAGAAAGAGTCAGCAAACGACAAACATAGCGGGTGTCCTGCTTCGGAACTGGTGAAGAATCCGCGCATTTGTTTTGTCTCCATGGTCCATGAGCAGTTGAGGTCACCATCGCCGACGTGTTCTTGATTTCCTTCACAACACGGTCGCGACACCCTGGGGATGTCTGGCTTTTGGAGAACATTTGTTACGCTCCAAACGAACCAAACGCGATAACCAGACCGAACGCGTAACCCGGAACGGAGGTGGTGGACGGAATGGCGAGATCCGATGAGGACAGTTGATCCGATAGGATCCGACGGGACTGAGACTAAGACTGAGACTTACTGAGACTGAGTTTGCGAAGGAACCCGGAGCTGTTGTCAGTCTCTTGGGTGACTATTTGGACCTCATTGTAGTGCCGATGTGTTTCATTTCTTTTCGTTGTTTGAACGCTTGAGCGTTGAATTGCAAGGCGCCTGTTGCCAGTTGGCGCTTTTTTTTGGTGATTCAGGTACCGATGGTCCTGCAACGTCCATCTCTACGAGAAGAAGCGCTGCAATGTCCTTGCAAGCGCTGCGGCAATGCCTTGAAGGAGGGCGACGTAGGTTTCCTGCGGTTGCCGTTGGATTCACTTGACAAGCTTCAGAATCCTGCGCATTCCAAAAGGCAATTCATCAATTGGAGCGGCCAATTTTATCACTGCTGCTGGAGGCACTGGTATTTATCGCCATCAGCAGCTATGGTTTGGGAACATGAACTGTGGGGTGATCGCTTTAGTTGTTCTCCGCTTGTGGCTCTGAGCAATCAAGTACAAGGGGCCAAGTACACAACGATGCAATGCTTCTATCAACAGAGCAACCATCTTGAACCATGTTGAACCAAGACATGAGTAGCTCGGCGTAACCCAGAGGGATCAAATTGACGTTAGAGTGGAGAACTGGATGCCTCCACGTGGCTGAGTGAGAATGGACGAGGCCAGATGGACTTTTGTTTTCTTCTTCTATTTACATATTGTATTTATATATATATATTGCAATAAATTTTTTTCAGTCAAATGTCAAGCTTCTGATCTTTGTTTGGCATTTTTTCATCCCTGGAGGATCAAAAGCTCATGATTTTCCTGGACAGCTTAGGTGCCACTTTTGGGTTCTCTCACCCCCTGTCGCCGTTGATCGTCGTCTCAAGGCCCAGAGGCTGATGTTGACTTTGCCAAACAGCTTCTCCAAGCGCACGACTGGGATTTGCAGGCCGCGGCCTCGCGGCCTGGCTCACCAAACCTTGGACTCCAGTGAATTCATGGTGAATTCATGAGAAGTCTGGTTCTGAATGAGCCTTTGATTGGTACCAATCTACCAGCTAGCAGGTCAGCAATGTGGCCTGCCATAATAGAAAGCTGCCATTCTTTGGTGTTAGGAGCTGAACCAATGCTACCGCATGGTTCTGGAACTGGAAGAAACTAGAGAAAGACAGCTCCTTGAGTTCTTTTCGAAAACATGTTTCTTTATGACGGAATCCTCTTTCGACCTCCTTGACATCCTTTTTTGTGCCCTTATTTGATTCGGACATATCTAAATGGTCTGAATCCCTTTGCAGGCTGCACTCGAGACGGTGACTGGTGGGACGGTTAAGCTCTTAGATCAGCAGAAAGATTGAAAAAGACCGGTTGATCTTCCGATCAACACCTGTTCAACAACCGCTGTGAGGTGGGACCGTCCCAACCGCACGAGGAGGTGCTGTGGTCCCAACCGCGAAGATCCGTCAGGGAAAGTTTCGTAATTGGAACCGGAGTGTTACAAGGTCGTCCCTTCACCTCTTAGTGCTCTCCAGTCATCAACTCGTTTCCGACGTTTGGCTAGCTCCGCTGCCAGGTGGACGTCCGAGCTCCGCTCCGAACCGGCCGATGTCCGAGCTCATCGGCCTTTTTTCGCTGCGACGACGAGAGCCGCGGTGTTTTGGTGGACCGAGCCGTAGGCTATGTGGACCGACTCATCGACACAAGCCACGAGGTGGGTGAAGAAGGACTGAGAAACGGACTTTTGCAGATCGATTCTATCAGGAAGAGCAAGCTGTCCTGGCTTCTTCGGAATCTGCAGCAATTGAAGCTTCCGCAAGGCTTGGATCGGAAGCTGAGACTCTTGAGAGTGGCAAAAGAGAGGGAAAACCATGGCGAAAGCCACGCCCAGGGCCTTGTGATAGAATTTCATTGGTAGGATGAGTGTGCTCAGGCAAGATCTGCAGGATGCACTCTGGGCAAGCGAGCAGGAGTTCCTGCGGCAGGCTGACATTCAGGATACTGCGAATCATGATGAATGCTGACTTGGTGTGAACTATTCAGATGAATGTCTTAGATAAAGTCGCAATTACCTGAATAGAGCTGAGGAGTCCATCAGTTGACCATTTCGTTCAACGTTGCAGGAGCAGGCTGCTTTGGCCGCTGCCATGGAGGCTTCACGTGCAGGATGCTTAGTTGATGTACGTTGACATTGATGAAGCAAAGAAGCAATGTGTTTCGAACCCATGTTCCAAGATCCCACACAGTTTCACAGCCTTTGTGCTTCGTGTCCACTCCCGGTGCCTCAGATCAGCCAACCGGCGGAAGTGGGCATGCCAGGCGGTTCCGTGTCCTTGTCATGCTTGTCCGTGGCCATTGGTGTTTCATGAACAACCCCCGTAGCGAAGATGGGTTTGTGTTGGAGAAAATGAGGACCCCCTTTGGCCCACTAGATCGGGTCGGGCACGTTTCGCTTTCAACGGAGAATGAAATGAGCATCCCAATAGAATCCCCAGACAAGCCATTTCCTCAGGGCTTCCGCGGTCACCACACGGTGCGGCGACGGGGAAGGCTGGGCCGGTCAGATGAAGCAGGTGAATCAACTGCTGAACTGCACATGGAATAAGCTGAATATCAGAAAAAACAAGACGTTCAATTCCGTTTAGTATATCTCAATCGAATTGAACGCTTTTATGTTCAACCGGCAGACCTGGCAGAGGAAAAGGACGAAGACTCCCAACTCCCAACCAATCGGCCCAAAGAGTCGTCCAGGTCTCCGAAGTCCGCGCCACGGATCGGTGTTGGACTTCGGTAAAAACGGAGAGTTTCGGAAGGGATAAGGCAATTGCAGTCAGTCCACTGTCAGTCCACTGTGTGGAAGGGCTTGTTTTAGGGAACTTTTAGGGGGTGATGGCAAAAATTGCGAACGCATTGGATCGCGAGTTGAGGTTCAAGGCAAAAGTTGTTTGTCCATTTTGATCCCTTGCTGTTGGAGTGCAAATTGCACAGGTCACAAGCGCGCGGTCATGAGCAACGCATGAACAAATGTTGTCAGGCAGTATCGCTGGGGAATGAGGTGGCTTTACCCTCAGTGCATAACACTTGCTTGTTTTGTTTTGACTGCTTTGAGGTTGAAATGGCTAGTTTCAGAATGGTTGATTACATCATGGAGTCATTTGCATGACAATTGGACGTGTTCTCACTTGCTGGTGAACTAGTTTAATCACACGTGCTCAAACAAGTGACACTGTTCAGGACACAGCAGATGATGTTGCTGCGCCATACTGCAATCTGTTTAGGATCAAGCTCGCTGCCCACAGTAGGCCACGGCCAGGGCTGCGCAGAACACCTGTGAATCTTGGCAGCCCATAGTTGGATGCAATTCAGGAGTTTTCTGACTTCTCTCATTCGGCAGCTTGGTTTCCCAAGGCGCGATGACGGCCCACCTCAGGAAAAGCCGCAAGATGCACGGCCACAGGAAGCGAGGCTAGTTGTGTACGATTCTAAGTTGAGGGCTCCACTTTGGAAGTGTATTGGGGAAGGCC